CAGTCTTTTTCGATGGGGTATCTGGAAGCTCGAACTCGGGGCCTGAAGAAGGTGTCTCAAAGGAGGTCGGCAACACCATGACGGAAATGCTGATTGCCTTGGTTGACGAGGCGTCCGGCATGAACCCCAAGGTCATTGAAGTAATCATGGCTCAATTCCTTAGAGCAGCGCCCCCGGGCGGCTTCCAGAGCCGCACAGAACGTAGCGAGCAGAACGGCAATCAGTCGACCTTGCTGCCCAAGGACGAGCCGCCTGCGTACATCATGGCGAAGGAGATCTGCAATGTGTGTACTGAGAAGATGGTACACTACGTAAGCCAGTACTTCAGCGACGTCATTCTGGACGCATCTCGATTCGCGGCGAAGACGGTTGGCAAATCTCACGAAGATGAAGAGGACGAGGATGCCCCCAGGGGTCCCACGGACGCAGAATTAAAGGAACTCAGAAAGGCCCACTATCTCATCCGAGAACTCTGGCGCGCATCGCCATCTGTTCTGCAAAATGTCATACCACAGGTCGAGGCAGAGTTGTCGGCCGATAATGTGGATCTTCGACAGCTGGCCACCGAAACACTTGGAGATATGATCTCCGGACTTGGTGCTGCTGGACCGCCCCCGCCGCCCGTGTTGGATCCCGCTCAGTATCCCCCTTTACGCTTGGCCGACGAGGCTCCCAGTCAGATCTCCGATAGCGTCCTCACCACACCTCTCTCGCCCCAATCTTTTGCGCAAACCCATTCTTCCGCGTACAATCATTTCTTGGGCAGGAGAAATGACAAGACGGCGACCATTCGAGCAGCCTGGACCAACGCTGTCGGATATATCCTGGCCACCTCAGCAGGCGGGATTGGTCTCAGTCGCGAAGAACAGTCCGAATTAGTGAAGCATCTCGGGGAGAAGCTCAACGATGGAGACGAAAAGGTCCGGTTGGCTGCCGTGAAAGTGATGGAGCTCTTCAGCTTCCGCGACTTCATCTCTAAGCTGGCTGCCCCAGGCGGCGTGGATAAGGACGGCTCTGTTCTTAGCAGTCTTGCCGACCGGTGTCGAGACAAGCGCACTGCTGTCCGAGTCGATGCAATGACGTTGCTCGCGAAACTCTGGGCGGTTGGATCAGGGGAGTTGGCTGCTGGGCAGGAGAGCGTCGTTGCCGCCTTGTCTGGTATTCCTTCGCGCATTTTCAACGCCTTCTATGCGAACGACTCTGAGCTCAACATCCTTCTCGATCGTGTACTCTTCGAGTGCCTGGTACCTCTGTCCTATCCTCCCATTAAGGCACCAAAGAGTACTAGAGGGGCGTCTCAAAGCTCCCAGAATGCGGGCGTTGCTGACCAAGATCGCATTCGTGCGGAAAGAATTCTTCTCCTTACTCAATCTCTAGACCAAGCGGCCAAGAGAGCCTTTATGGCTATGCAAGGTCGGCAACCTCAATTCGCGCAGGTCCTCGAAGCCTTTGTCAAGCAGTGCGAGAGCTACAACGGAGGCGTGATAGACGATAACCGTCCAAAGATTACGGCGAACCTGGAGAGGACAGTACAGTACATCACACAGTTCTTCCCAGACTCCTTCAAAGTGAAGACCGATCTTCAGAAGTTCGCCAATGCGAATGACCGACGCGCCTACCAGCTCGTCAAATTCTCCGTCAGTGCCGAGAGCGACTACAAGACGGTCCGACAAGCCATCAAGGAACTGGTCAAGCGCACCAATGCAAGCCAGAACGCAACTATCCTGGATACGCTCTTGCCGCTTCTCTACAGGTCGGCTTGCTTGCTATTCAACCGAAGTCACCTTGCAACGATCCTCGATTACTCGAGGAACGATAAGGACGGCCTGGGCTCCGTATCCCACGAAATTCTCAACGAAATCTCACAGCGCAACCCCGAGCTTTTCAAGACTCACGTGGGAGGGCTATGCAAGGGTCTCGTCGAGCAAGCTCCCACAGAGACCAACGAGAACGATTCCAACGTTGTCGATACCCTGAAAGCTTGTGCTTCATACTCGAAGAAGTACCCAGAAGAGATTCCTCAAGACCGAAAGTTTTCACAGGCTCTTGTTAGCTACGCTCTGTATGGACGGCCTGTGAAGTCTGCCAAGTATGCCATCAAGATTCTCCTAGCCAAGGGCGACGACAAGGGTCTGGTCAGTGCAACTAGCTTGTTGGAGAAGATTATGGAAGACTGGACCTACGGCTCAGCGCACTTCCTCAACAAGCTCCAGTCTGTCGCACAGCTGGAATTGCAGGTGCCCAAGATTACCCTCGATTCTGATGATGACATCCTCAACATGACGGTGCAGCAAATTTTGCTCAAGGTTCGAACAGACGCAACAGACAAAGACCCCGAGTGGGTGGATGATGCCAGCGTGGATGAAGAATTGCAAGCAAAGTGCCTGTCATTGCATATTCTCGTCAACCGACTGCGCAGTATGGACGATGTCGAAGAGGCTAAAGAGAAGGCCGTACCTGTCTTCAAGCTGCTCAAGACATTGGTCGCGAAGAGAGGAGAGCTCTGCAAGACGAAGGATACGCCCAACCACCACAAGTCACGGCTTCGCCTGCTGGCAGCTCAGCTGTTGCTGAAGCTATGCACCATTAAGCATTTCGACGACTTCCTGACACCAGCCGATTTCAACCGTCTCGCATTCACGGCGCAGGACACTGAATTGACTGTTCGCCGAGGTTTCATCGAGAAGCTCCAAAAGTACCTGGTGCAGAACAAGCTTCGGGCACGCTTCTATACCATCATCTTCTTGACGGCATTCGAGCCGAACAACGATCTGAAGCAGCGCGTTGAGACCTGGATCCGATCCCGGGCTCGCGCATTGGGGGCGAATGAACAGCACCCTATGGAGGCGATCATGGGACGACTCATATCTTTGCTGTCTCACCATCCCGACTTCAACAAGCCGGAGAATATCGATGATGCCGGTGAAGAGGAGCTGAGCTCATACGCCAGTGATCTTGCGGACCATGGCCGCTACATTCTGTACTATCTAACGAATGTGGCAACGGAAGAGAACCTGGGACTTGTCTATAAGTACGCCGAGAGGGTGAAGCAGACTCGTGATGCGATCAGCCCGGAGGCGAGCGAGAATCTTTACATTGTCAGCGATTTGGCCCAGGCCGTTGTAAGAAAATGGCAAGAGAGGAAGAATTGGAGTTTTCAAGCGTACCCGGGTAAGGTCGGCTTGCCGATCGGTCTCTACACTGCCTTGCCTTCGCATCAGGTTGCCCAGGAGATTGCCGAGAAGCAGTACCTGCCGTCAGAGATTGATGAGAAATTGGACGGTCTGTTCAAATCAATCGACCGAAAGAAGGTAAGCTGGCACTGTCTCCCATGTTGTCCGATCTCTAAGCTTACAAAATTACAGAAGAGAAAGTCTACAGATGATCGTGGAGACCACCATGCTGCTAAGAAGGCAAGGTCAGCCCCGAGGGTCAGGGAGCCTAAGGCACCAAAGGAACCTAAGCCGAAAAAGCAGAAGGTCAAGAAGCCCGCGAAGGTCAAGGCCCCGCGCCGCGAATCCGACATTCCCCTGGAAAACCGGAGACGCAGCGGCCGTGCTGCTACCACTGCTGTATCCAAGTACACCGAACGCGACTCATCCGACGACGACCGTGAGATGTGGGATGGTGTCAGCAAGTGGACGTACGAGAATGAAGATGGAGAACAGACGGAGGTGTCAGATGACGATGATGACTCCTCGGTTCTCTCGGAAGCCCCAGAGGAAGAAAACGGCGAGGGAGCCAAGAAGCCAACAGCTGCTGCGGACGACAGCGGCGATGACTCGCCTTTATCCGAGGTTGAGGACGTTGCAACAGAGGAACCAGAGAAGGAGGAAGTGGAAGCAGATGACGAGGAAGAGCCGGAAGAAGCTACCCCACCGCCCAAGTCTAACGGGCGAAAGGGCCGGTCGGCAGCAGCATCAAAAGCGGCAGCCAAGACTAAACTGCCAGCCCGACCTGCAGCCAAAGAGAAGCCCGCTCCGAGAGCGACGAGGACGTCGGCGCGGAGCACGCGTGGGAGGGCCGCCCCGGAGTCGATGGATGTTGACGAGAGCGACTGATCGAGGGCGGGAGTGTACAAAAAGTTTCATCTTCATTGTTGCAGTGCTTTTCAATTGGCTTTAGGCATGGCTATATATTGGCTTATGGGGGATGGATATCCCCTGCGGTGGTTGGGTGTTTTGAGTGTGCCGCCTGCGAATGCAGCTGAATCCATCATTTGCAACTGCAATGTACTTTCGTTTCCATGCTTTCTGTTGAAACTGTCAATATACCCATGCTGCTGAAATAATTCAACCAATGTGCTATCATGTGCTGGGGAAATTGGAGTGGCTCCCACTGATTTGAAGTAGTCGGAGGCTGTCTTGTGATAATAGCTGAAGCGCTTGACGCTATCTCCACAGGACCCTGCGGAGAATGGGGGATCCCTGGAACCTAGATGCAAGGCACAGAAAGTTAAGGTACGCAAAGTAGCTGCACTAAGGTAGCTCCAATTTGCGTGTAGGATGTCGAGGAGCTGTATGGGAGCTTCTCACACATTCTCAAGGCAAGGAAGCCTAGCTCATTCAGTGCCGGAGGTTGGCACAACTTGACAGGTTTAGTAGCTTTCTTTTCTTTTTCTTCTCTTTTTTTTTTTTGGTTGTCTGGCCATGTCGCCGTGTCCCCTCAATAAATGAAAGTCAGTCCTATTGAAGCCGAGGTAAATGTTGGCTAACGTAATGCTCTCGAGACTTCCGAAGGGATACCACGAGTCTATCCGGAACATATCCGATGAGTTCATTGAGGCAACTAAGGTCAAGCTGGTCAAGATGTTAAGCTTCAGAAAGCTACCACCTAGTTGGTGACTAGACAGGGAAGATCCGTAGGGTTTCATTAAACGTGCCCCCGCCCAGCCCAGTTCTCCCGAGATAAAACGAGAGCTCGGAATTCAACCCTCCCAGCTTGCCGACAATCACCCCCTTCCTCCATTTTCAGCCCAAGGGGTTGATTGCATTGCAACAATGGCCTGGCCGGGGATTGATCGCGTGATCATGCCCAACGGGCGAATCATCACCGTTTGCCTCCCTCACCAGATGGTTACCTACGGAAAATGCTGTCTCGACTTTAGTCTTGAAGCGGAGAAGGACGACGAAAATTACTTGGACGAGATGAGGAGGACGATGACGACGAACTCTTTGGCTTCGACTTCAACTCTCACGTCCCTAGGGGTGTCAGCGTCAACCAGGTTGCGTACAGCCGATACGGCCGTCTTGGGAAAGCTGCTGCGAGCGGATCTCGGGGACCTTCAGCCCCCATCCGCTTGCGGCCTACTTGGGTCGAAGACCTGGACGAAGATGAGGATGAAGACGAGGACTACGATGATTTGCCGCCCCTAGTGGACGGTACGCCGCACAGGGAGTCCAAGCATCTCTTCATCGGCGCTTCTTGGCCCTCGAATGCCTTTACGATCAAGTCTGCCGACCCCGAGGCTCCGAAACAGGCCGCCCCGAGCGTTCTCAAGCCGACGGCATCCCACCCTCTTTGCGAGAGAATGCAGTTCTCCGGCACCCTGTTCCCCACAAAGTTCGGCCAGCGTAAGAAGAAGACGCCCCTGTCGCCCGAGGAGCTCTTCCCGCCCGGTCGCTGCATGAAGCTCACGCCTCCGGTCCTCCACTTCATCAACCGCTACGACACCTCCGAGGCCATCATCTACACCGACGGCGCCTGCTTCGGTAACGGCAACGCCGCGGCGCGCGGAGGCTCCGCCTTCATCTTCAAGCCGGTGTACGCAAACGACCAGAGCGGCCGCGTGGCCTTCAAGCTCGAGGACCAAGGGTCCGATGGCAAGACGTACCGCCACACGAGCAACCGCGCCGAGCTGCGCGCGGCCGTCGCGGCGCTCCGGTACAGGGCCTGGGCCGGCGAAGGGTTCCGCAGCATCGTCATCGCCACGGGTTCGACGTACGTCGTCAACGGCGCCACGGACTGGGCGCGCGCGTGGGTCAAGAAGGGCTGGCGGCTGAGCACCAGCGAGAACGTCAAGAACAGGGACCTGTGGGAGGCTCTCTTGCTCAACGTCGAGAGGCTCTACGACCGCGGCGTCAGTGTCCGCTTCTGGTGGATCCCGCGCAAGTTCATCCACGAAGCTGACAGGGCCGCCAAGGGCGCGGCGTACATCCTCGCGCCAAAGATCGGGTTTAGCGACTTGGTTGGGGTTTGTGTTTGATTTTGGGAACACCCACGGCGTTGCGCCCCCGTTTTATCAACTTTTCTCTGTGTCCTCAACCACTTTGAACGGTTAGCTCTGCGTGTCGGATCTTTTGCAACGTCACGCGTAATCTTCGCTGTTGCTTTTGCCGCTGCGAGCAACCAGGCCGAAAATGGGGCTTGGCAACCCTGTGTTTTCAAGCACTCTTCCCTTAACCGTCACCATCAGAAAAACGGTTCCTTTCGAGCGTTTCCCTACCCTTATACTCTGAGCGTTGTGTGTAAGGGAGGATTTTTGGGATTTATCAGTCAGCTGTTTGGCAAGGAGCCCCCAACTGTGTATATGGAATCACGGGCTCGGCACCGCATTTAGCAATCAGGCCTAGACTGGGGCTTGGCAACCCTGTGTCATCAAGCACTTATTTTAAAAACGTTGCGGGTCACTGATGCGTGTTGAAACTTGTAAAATGGTCTGGAAAAGGATGGTTTGGTATTGACAGGCTCCTGATCCATGTGCAGAGCTTCCTATGAAATACCCGTGACCGGTGTATTCCCACCCTTGAGTGAATTGTTATGCGAATAAGCACTTAAGCCATCGACATAACTAGCCCGGGTGGTACTCTACCTAGTACAGGCCCCTCGCAAGAAACACCAACACGACGTGAAGAGGGTACGCTTAGTAGAGGCGCTTGGGGGGAGACATGGAAGCCTTGATGGTCAAGCTTCCAACGTTCTGCCAGCCCTTCTTCAGCAGAGAGACGAGGTAGTTGATGGCCAACATGATGTTGGCAATCAGCTGCTCCTGGGTCATGCCGACGTTGCCGACGGCGACACCCATGCAAAGAACCTTCTTCAGCTGGAACTTGATGGTGGACTTGACCTCGGTGATCTTGCCAGAGAGATCGTCGGCGTGGGAGACGGGGGTGGGGAACTTGCCGGCTGCAGAGTTGTTAGATACGAGTTCAAGTCCAAAATAGCGAGAGAGAGAGAGGGGGGGGGAAGTGGTGTGAACATACCCTTGGACAGACCGGGACCCAAGAGACGGGGGATCTGCTTGATCAAGGTCTCGGAAGCGACGAAGGCGTCGTACTTGCGAGCGAGCTTCTTGATGAGCTTCTTGTTCTTGTTGAGCTTCTTCAAGTCGTCGGCGGACATGGCGTCAACACCACCGTGCTTGGCACGATCGATATCGTGCTGGTCACCGAGAATGCAGATGCTCATGTTGGGGCGGGGGACGACCGGCAGGCGGACGGTGCCGGAGAAACGCTTGTCACGCTGAGGGTCATAGTTCTTGAGGCCGATCTGAAGCTCGACAGACTCCTGTGAGGGGTATTAGCATTTGCTACTTGCTTCGCTTCGGTCGCGGACTTTGCGCTCAATTGAACGACGGAGGGGGTAGACTGACAAGGAAGTTGCGCTTCTTGGTCTCGAGAGAGTACTCGAGCAGCTCAGAGACCTGAGTGCGGACGTTGGCAACCGTAATTTTCGACATCTTGGCGATATCTCCCAGTAATCTGGTGCTTACGGTAGATGTTGGGTGATGATGGGGTTGAAGGGGAAAGAAGAGAAGCCAGGACAAATTTCGGCGGGGCGCCTTATTCTTTTTCAATTAGGGCAGGGAAAAAGTTTGGCCACACCACCGAGTGTGGGTGAAGTGGCCCGTGCGCGCGACGTTCCAGAAGATGTAGGCGATTGGCTGAATGTCACTGGGAGGCGGGAGCGCAAAAAAAAAAAAAAAAAAAAGCAGAGTCGGGACCCTGGCGTTTTGGTGCCCCGCGATGAGTCTTCGCCGGCGCGCCGACTTAATGCTGTGAAAACTCGTAGTACCTACAATTTTCCCGTGTCCGATACAAAGTACCTTGACCGACGAGGCATTCCCAAACCAGAGAGCCTTATGTAAGATCTGGAGCATACCAGAAATTGAGTGCACTCATTTCTGATACTTACACGCCGAGTTGTAGACGACAGACGAAAGAAACAAAAACACCCCCCTGTTACTCACTCGGCCAGCACTCATTCGCTTCGCCGTTGCCCCTCGGTGCCCCTCATTCTACTCCCAGGAGTCACTCGCCGGGTTCACCAATTATGAGATAGCGATGAAGCAGGATACCGTCCCCCAATACGAGAGCTTCGTCAACCCGAGTGACCTGCTCAAATGGGTTGAGGAACAGCCGGAGGAATCGTGGATTTCGTAAGACTTTCCCCCCAAGTCAACACCCCTCTAAAATAAGATTTCCAATTGTAGCAGTACCTGTGTTAATATCATTTTTGCCCATAGCATCGCGCAAAATATCTTTGATCACCTCCTCTCCCTGGCCGCTCAGCCAAAGGGAGTTTCGGGCAACTCATGCGTGAAGCTCTGCGGATTTGTCGAGCAAAGCTCAAAGTCCGACAAACCGGCCCTCCGGCAATGGGCTTTCTCCAAAGAGCCCAGTCTGGGCCTCTTCAACTTCTTCATCAAGTGGAATGAGACGGAGCAGCACCGGTCCATGAAGCTGGTCTTGGACCTGCTCCCCTCGCTCATTCGTCGTAACCCCGACCAAGCCGTCTCTGACCTAGTCAAGACGACCATCTTGGACACCCTCATCTCGATCATCGGGCCGCAGTCCACCAAGCCTCTGGTCAAGTCGTCGCTCAAAGCCATGGACTACTTTGCCGGCAAGTCCGTCTTCAGCGTCGACGACATCGCGGCGAGCTATAGGCGGACGCAGCCGGAATGCACCTGGGCGTCCGATATTGCACTGTGGGAGGACTTCTTCGGCCAGATGCTCGACTGGATGACCATGCACTACGTGTGTCCGACTACGGGCAAGTTCATCGTGACCATCTTCAGGGCACTGAGACAGCAGTCTTTAAAGACACCGCAAGCTGCAGGCGCCGAGCATTTTAGCGTCGAGATGTGGCTTCGTTGGGTCCAGGCTGCCATTGCCAAGACGCCGTCCTTGCTTGAGGGCATCAAGACGTATGTTTTCCTTCCGTTGTTCAAGGATGACCGCAAAGACTCGGTCCAGATCCTGGAACAGATCAACAGCATGTGGTCTACCTCTGGCTCCGCCGTGGCTGAGCTAGACACTCTGGCCCAGTTGAACCTCGCCGTGCTGGAAGTCGGTAAAAAGGTGGGCATGGTTGAGGAGCCCGGCGCCATTTACAGAGAGGAATCCTCCTCAGCAGTAGTCTTGGAAGAGGCCGTGCTTGAGAGAGTCCTGTCACATCCTTCCCACGAGCTCCGCTCGCTAGCGCTGTCCCTCATCGTCGCTTCCCCTTCGACGACGAGGCCTTACTCACCTGTAGCCCTCCGCCTGTTGCAAGCTCATCTCCCGACGTACTTTTCAGAGTCGGACGCGAAGTTCCGCATGGAACTGCTGAGCAAGCTCAAAGATATGTTCAAGCGCAGCAGAGGCGCAATCTTCATCCTGCATAAGAGTCTGGCCCGTCTTAAGGCCTTTGACGGCGCTGCCAACGGTGCGCCAAAGGCCCCCAAAGCGCCGCCGAAGCAGGCGAACCACCGCACCAACATCTTGCTCTGGCCAGAGGACAAGCTGCGGGCGAGCTTGAAGCAGCACGAAGACTTCTTGGCGTGGTACATTGCCTTTTTGCGGTCTGAGCTGATCCCGACAGCCTCTTTCCAGCGTCACTTCACCGCGCTCAGGGCTGTTGCCTTCATCCTCAAGCTCGAAGCCGATGCCGGCAAGACATGGGAGACGGAGGAGGACGAGACCCTCTTCTTCAACCTGTTTGACGGGAAGTGGACGCGCGCGCTCCTCGATCTCATCATGGACCCCTTTGACGATGTTCGGGAGAACGGTACGTCTGTCCTCAAGAGCTTGTTCGCCGACAAGCGCTTCAAGCGTCTCGTTGGTACACAAGGTGTCTCGCCGACACTGGAAGAGTTCCTGTCGAGAGCCGAGGATATTGCGCGGAGGACGGCGCGAGCCGATCATGCCGATGGCGTCGCTCGGACAAACGAGCTTCTCTTCAGATTCTACGACGGTAGGGAGGCGCAGATCGCGCATATTTCAAAATTGATGGATCTTCTCGAAGGCAAGCTTGCCTTTGCAGAGGCCGATCTGGGCAATGCCGTTCTTGAGGCGCCGGTTCACGGTTACTTTGCTTCCCTCCGGTGAGTGCCACAAATACTGCGACAACCTTGAAAGGGGCTGTGGACTGACTGAGAACTAGGTATATCTGGCAAGCTGCGGCTGACATGAGCTTTTCGGCGTCCGAGATGGAAGCCATGGCTACCCTTCAGAACCGCATAGTTAAGTGCTGCCAACGCATCTGGGCTGCGGTCAGGGACATTCTGTGCGACGACTCACCCGAGGGCCACTTGCCCCAGGAGCTGGAAGATCTCGAGGGTCTCGACACCAAGGACCTGCTGAGCTACAGCTTCCGCGCCATCCACGAGTCTAGGTAAGCTATCGAGAGTCTTCGCAACGCTATGTATCTCGTCTAACATATTGGCCAGTGCTCTGATGCGCGTCATGGTTCTGCCTCTCAAGTCCAAGGCCAAAGACGGAATTCTGCGCCCCTCGACCGACCTCTTCACAACCGTCGGATCCTTGACCTTTGACCAGCTGTCGAGCCTCAGACACCGCGGTGCCTTCAACACTGTTTCGCTGTCGTTCGCAACCTGCTGCCAGCTGGTCAAGCACCTCGACGACCCCCAAGCAGGCCACGAGAACGGCGAGACCCTGCTCGATGTCTGGTACAGAGGAACCAAGGAATGCATCTTTTCCCAAGCATCCACAACCCGCCGCTCCGCCGGCATCCCCGCCATGATCACCGGCATTATCTCCGCCAACGCGCCGCAACCCTCCTTTGACGTCGTCATTGAGGAGCTCGTCGCCATCGCCCGCAAACCCGCCTTCAACTCCGAGTCGGACGGCTCCAAGCTGCCCCAGGTCCACGCCCTCAACTGCCTCAAGGACATGTTCAAGAGTTCTTTCATCACCCAGCTCGGCAAGTCAGCGCCACACATCCCGCAGTGCCTCGACCTCGCCGCCGGCAGCCTTAAGTCCGAGGTCTGGGGTATCCGCAACTGCGGCCTCCTCTTCCTCCGCTCCCTCCTCGACAACCTCTTTGGCACAAACGAGAGCAAAGCCACCCTCGAGGCCGGCTGGGATGGCCGCACAACCCGCCTGCAGTACCACAAGTTCCCGATCTTGCCCTCCGTGCTCTTGAACCTCCTCCGCTCCGGTCGCGAGGTCATGAAACCCACGACGCTCGGCAGCACCATCGCCGCCGAGTCCGTCTTCCCGGCCCTCGACATCATCCGCCGCGCCGGACCACCCGACGCCTCCCGCGACGAGCTGTACGGCCTAGTCGCGGGCTACCTGGCCAGCCCCGTCTGGCACGTGCGGGAGATGGCCGCCCGCGCGCTGTGTTCTTTCCTCCTCAAGGACGACGATTGGGTTAGCCTTGCCGAGGCCATCATCAACGACTCCCTCGCCGCGGCACCCGCGAGCAGGAACAACCACCTCCATGGCGGCCTGCTGACCGTTAAGGCGGTCTTTGAGCGGCTCTCCGATGTCTCGCCTCAGAGACTGTCGTCTGGCCTCCCGCGCGTGGTTTCGATCCTCAGTGGTCTCCAAGCCAGCGCGTCCGACTCCTTCGCCTCCTGCCCAGACATCCGCGCCGCTTACCTGGAAGTCCAAAACCTCATCTCCCTCTTCACCCTATCTTACCCGTTGCCATCAACATCGACATCGCAGAACGCTGCATCCTACACCATCTCACAATCCTCACAAAGCGCCCTCCTCCGCACCCAACTCGCCATTGCGGCAGTCCACGCCACCCAAACATCCTCCTCCCCCTCCGCCTCCCTTCGCGAAACCCTCCTCTCGACGAGCACAACAAGCGTAGAGACGACAATCACAACCCTCGAAACCCTCGCCTCAGTCCACCACCCGCGCCTGTCCCTAGCGGAAGCAGCATCCTACGCCACGCTGTACACCGACGTAGCCCGCTCCGCAACGCACCCAGACTCCTGCGCCGCCGCCCTCGTCAACCTCGCAGAGGTCCTCGACCTCGTCCTGGCAGAAACAGCCGCCCGCAATGCCGATGCCAGCTCTCAACAACTCTCAAACCTCCTCCCCACCCCCGAGACCCTGACACAGCTCTGGCAAGACCTCCTCGCTCGAACAATCAACCCAAACCTCTCCAACGCAATCACCCGCGCCAGCGGCCCCATAATGGCATCCCTCGTCTCTCAATTCCCCGTCTCCCAATCCACCGCGCAATCCCTCCGCGGCTGGGGAAACCTAATGTCCTCGGCCCTCCACGACTCCCGCCCCTTTGACACCCGCATCGCCGCAGCAGCCTCCCTCGCCTCCTTCTTCTCCGCAACAACCTCAACCTCTTCAACCACCGCAGACCAAGCGCAAGCAGCAGAGGCCCCCCTCCTCCCCGCCCTCATAGCCCTCTACGACGCCCTCAACGACGACGACGACGAAGTCCGCGACCTCGCCTCCCTCTCCGCAAAACACATCCTCTCCCAACCCCTCGCGCCCCTCGACGCCGCCTCCTCGCTGCTGTCCTACATCGCAGCCACCTACCGCGACAGCCCCACCCTTCACTCCCTCCTCGCATCCCGCCTCACGGGCCAGGTCTCCTCAGACTCAACCAACAACACCAACATAGAGACTACCACCGCCGCCTCGCAATGGTCCACCGCAGAATCACAACTTTCCGCCGCCCTCCGCTTCGACGACTCCCTCTTCGCAATCGAAGAACAGAACCTCTTCATCGACGAGGTCCGCGAGTCAAAGCGCTGGGCCGCCGTCTTCCAAGACATCTTCTCCTCTACTTCGGATTCTGCCTCTGCGTCAGCGGCGCGCACGGCACTAACGACCTGGACCTCCGCCGGCCTAGACGCCCTCCTGGCCCTCACATCCCAACCATCCTACGCAGACGATGGACCGCTAGGCTGGACTTCCGACCCAGACGTTTACGCAGTCTGCGCGCGCGTCCTCCTCGCCGCGACGGCACTTACCAAGGTCAATGTCGGCGGCGTCAATGGATCCGAGGCGCTCAGGGAGAAATTGGAAAAGTTGAGGGCTGTAGGTCAGCGGGGGAGATTTCATGGGTTGTTGTTGGAGATGACGAGTGCATGAATTCGACAACAGTAAGATGTCATAAATCATGGACGGTCAGATGATGCAAAGGATGAAAGCATGCTCAAGATGAAAAAAAGTTTAGTTCGTTGAGATGTTTCGTGTACAATGCTTTGGAAAAAGTACATGGAGAGATAGACATGGAAATAGACAGGAAAACAGATGAAGTAAATAAAAAAAAAGGCTATAAAAGGAAGGCTAAGACGCCCCGAACGCCATTGGATGCTCATGCGTCATCTCGTCCCGTCTACAGAGATCTCTCTGTCTGCATCAAGCTGGGTATCCTGTCCTGCAGCTGACGTCTCTCTCCTCCCTCTGTCTCTCTCGTCGTCGTACGATTTACACATCCCCTCGCCTCCTTAATTGGACACGGTCTGAACCACCTTTTCCCCCGGCACACTCAACGACGAGTCCTGTCTCTTCATACCGCCCATCCCACCCATCTTGCCCATCTTAACAACCAGCATGGTATTCTGGCTCTGCAGCTGACCCACCTGCTCCTTGAGAACGTCAATCTCCTTGAGCGCCACATCCCGCTCCGCCTTGACACGCTCGAGCTCCAAGGCCAAGTTTCCCTTCTCCTCCTTTTCCGCCTGCTTCCGTCGCTTCTCCTCCGCCTTGCGCTGCTCCTGCTCGCGGCGCTGCTCGAGGCGCTGCATGTCGCGCTTGTACTTGTCCTCCTGCTTGGCCATCTCCTTTTCGTGCTTCTCGCGGAGCTTCGCCAGATTGGCAGCCTCCTTTTGGGAGTCTTGGTCACGCTTGCTAGACATGCGCTCATGCATCTTGTTGATCTTATCTTGCATCTTTTGGCGCCGCTCCTGGAGTTTCTTGAGCTCTCTCTCGTGATGCGATGATGTCTTGGACCCTTGGAGAGACGCGCCGCCGCCGGATCCGGACGAGTGAAGCGACATGCTGTCGGGCTGCGTAACCTCTGGTGGTGTGACGGGCTCGCCCTCGTCCGTCTTTTCAACCGCTGAAGCGAAGCTTCGGATGGACGATGTGTCGCTTTCAATCGACTCATCCTCTTCTTCCTCCGCTATCGACCCGTTGGTGCTTGGTGCTGTGAATATTCCGGGTAAAGCGTAGCCCTCCGGTAGGCGACTAGCCACGACGGAGCTGGCCATTCCGAAGGCACCGGATATGATACCGTATAGGCCGTTACTACTCGGGACGGAATTATCCTGCACCTGTGCCGACTCTTCAGGTAGCAAGTTCGATGTTGGTTGCTTGGCCACCTCCATGGGAGAAGCGACCTTTTCGCTCTCGGCCTGCTTAGCGCCTTCTTTCGTCTCTTCCTGTTCTTGATCTGAAGTTGAGAAGTCATCGGCGGATTTCGCAGTCATCCACTTGAGAAACTTGCCGGCGTCTCCAATGATGCCTGCTGGTGTACCCCGATCAATCAAGAATCGGGGCACATTGCCGCCGGGATCACTACGAGTCACCATGAGCCACTCAACGGACGTCGTCGCCTCCTCCTCGATGCCTTCGCCGGTGTGCCCAGCGTCGTCTCTGGCAGGTGCACTGTCGACAGATGCACCTCGATGACGGCAGTCTGGATCTGCCGCCTTCTTCGCTGCCCGTAGAACAGCCTCCTTGCCCATAGACTCAGCCACAGCCTGTCTTTCTTTGGCGCCTTCCTGGCTGAGATCAATGGAGGATCGTGCTCGCGTGATCGCAGCCGGCTTATCGGACGGGATCTCGCGAATGATTTCGACCGACTCGTATTGACCTCGAATATAGCCTGGACGCTCGGGGCACTCGGGATGAATGCATGGTTTCGACACAATCATGTAGGTCCGGAGCGGCCGCTTCGCACCTTCTTGCGGGGCGCCGCCGGAAAAGTCGGAACTCAGCAGTAAAGTCACAAAGTCTCTCGGAGCCGTCGGGCCTGGGAATTGCGCCGATAACTGGAATACTGGGCAGATATTGTTAGCATTAGGCGCTGACGCCTCAAGTGATGTTTTTCATGCTCACCTTCCATTTTTCCAGAGCCTTCCACAACCTCATGTGCCGCCCGCTTCTCTGCTCCAATGCCGCGGATGGCGCCGGCGCCAGGCCCGCTCTGCACCTTCATGGACTCGGCAAACTCTCTCTCGAGGCCCAGCTTCCACTTCTCAAAAGTCAAACCATCGTGAACGCTGCGCCGGGCGAACCAGCTACCCTTGCCGTCCTTGGCGGCGAGTTTATATACGTTGATTGCTAGCGGGTTGTCCTTGGCATTGACCTTGACCTCTTTCCACTCTTTGGAAAGATCCTGCGACAACTTGAGCGCAGCACCGGTTTGTCGTTGGGAGAGCGAACGGTTGATGTCGGCGACAGGTATCGGGGGATCGGTGTGGGAGCGGGACCGGCCGTGGGAAGCAGTGGCCTGCTTGACCGCGGCGGGGACGGGGATAGAATCAATGACTGTTTGAGCGTTGGCAAATACGTCGGTCATGAACTCTTTTGGATCCTCCTCGGCGACAGATTCCCACTTGATAGGCGCAAGGCCTTTGAAGGGCTCGTGATGAGGTGCCATTGTGTCTGAGGGTGGCGGTAGGCGTCGAGGGCGAAACGGAAATGTGTCGTGTTTAAGAAGATGTCATAGCCCAGGTCGTCCGACGAAAGCGAATAATGTAGAGACTAGCCGGTGGTATCGGTGAAAGGGAGACACGGACGGAGATTCTGAAATGTCAAAAGGTATCGAGGTTTGTATAGTATACAATTATCGTCGGGGTCCGGACGCGACCGAGGCGTTGGGGGGAAAGATGAGTGTTCGTGGGGAAGCAAGGTAGATGCTGTTTGGTGGTTTGTGGATGAAGTTGGTAGTTAGTGGTCGATATACTGTGCAGAAATGGAGACGAAATAAAGCTTTGGATGACCTGCAAAGAGTGCCCCACGTGTGGCTTAAGAGTAAAGAGTCAAGGAGGAAGAAGGCAGGTTTGGGAGAGAATAAGGTGCTGCGCAAGCCACAGTACTTGGTAATTGCTGGAATAAAGGTGCATGCACGAAGTACGGAGTATGGAGTATGGATAGCGTCAACGGGAATGGGATCACCGATCATGGGCCGCCTTGCCGGGGTGTCAGGACTCAGTTGGTTTGGAGTCTTGGAGGGGCTTTGACGTCTCTGGCCGACCCGAGCGGACCTAATGCTCCCGTCCTCTCTCTACAGTGTACCTGCTATTTTGTCAGGTGTTGACCATGTTCCATCATGTTCAGTGCGCCCTTGTCCTTTACGTCCGGTGCAACACTCCTTCCGGTTCCTTGGGAAGAGGCATCTACACTAGATACGTATCTCATCTTGCCTCGGATTCTGCTCCAATGACGAAGTACCTAAGACACAAGGCAAGGCAGGTTCCTATGTAAATGGAAAGGGCCAGCCAATTCTTCCACCTGGCACCTTGCTCCTGCTGTGTTTGCTTTCCCTTCACCGCGCTTCTCGCATTGGCTCGACCCTGGCGCTGACGTCACCCCTGGTCCAGGTACACATACGAACAGTACGGAGTACGAGAAGGTGCGGTCCCCTCAGGGCCTCAATGAGAAGGTGGGGAGGGGAGGCCCCCGTTGCCTCCCCCGTCCATCTCGACGTCACAATTGGTGGTCAGTCTCCCAGAAAGGGGATCAAGTGGATCCCACCGCGCTAGAGATCGTCTAGAATCCGCGTATTCTGGGCTCGACCTCCGTGCCCTCGGATTCCTCTCATTCGACCCTCGCATAGCCGTGACGAAGGAGCGACAATTCACCCATTGCAACGAGGGGAAAATGCGGCTCCCTTCCCCCTTTTCTTACTCCAGTCTTTTTTCTTCTTTTTTCTAATTCTCTTTTTTATTCTTAGATTAGGGACAGATAATCGAGGGGAAGGTGGGGTTCAGGGAGGAGAGGAGCGGATCAGAGACCTCGTTCTGGAACTTCTGACCACCGGCCTACGTCGTCCAAGGCCGCTCGCCACAAGCCACACTGTTGAATGCGGGCTTCCTCGACGGAATGTGGCACATCAGGTTTTCCTTGCTTTCTCCCGTCGCCCTACCCGTAAGGCAACGCGGCCAGGATGGTTTTCCAACGGTTTACAGGGATTCTGATGGCGACTGGACACGTGAGGTCTCTCTCCCTTGCCGGAACACCTTGCCGGAGAGCAACAAAAAAAAATGTGATTTGGGGTAAGATGTGATACCAAGCCCTGTTTACTCCCTGTGTGCATCGACGTCAACCATATAAGTTTACATCGTCATGATCTACCTTACCCCAAGGTGCTAAGGTAGGGGCGTACAGCCTAAATGTCCAAGGAATCATCATACTAAGGTAGTTGTACACAATCTCCTACAGCCAGGAAAACACCACGCCGAGATTCCCGAGACATGACCTCAAAAGTCCGGACCCGGCTTTCCCATCGGCCGACTCTCTCCGTCGAAAACTAATACTAGCCCGCCAAAGAGATGGCCGAGCTTTCCGGTTAACATCGATCTACGATTGCGGCCTTGCATCACGATAAAGTGCTCAAAGAAATCAGGCCATGTCTTCAGATCACCAATGCCAATACTCTGGCAGTAAACTAGCAACCTTCGTTGAACTGTACCTAATGAGACCGGGACCGCCATCATAGGCAACTTTACAGCTTGAACAGGTTCGACGTTGTGAATCGTGTTTGGCCTCCCCGCTCTGTATCGGTACATCAGGTAGGTAGGTACTTAATCTACAACAGACCTCTGTTTGTCTCCATCAATACTTTTGCAATAGAGTTAAATCCCTCCCTCCTTTGCCCTTTATCTACATTTGGATGCGTCTTCAGCAAAAAGGTCATCATCAGAGATGCGCATGTTCATCTCATTAGCCCCCAACCAATAGTGAAGTCATTGAGCCATCAAGCGGGGACAAGTCGAAACACGAAATCATCATTCAACGTAATCAAATATTATCCTCCATTTCAGAGTAAGAAAAAAACAGTAAACTGTAAGGCTCTGAAAGCTTCCATACGCTCTCCAAAACCACGGCGATGTGATATTACGCAATGCAACACAAAGGGGACCCAACGACTCCTCTACAACCCCGCCAGAGAGCTTCGCTCGCTCATCAACGCTTGGTGATCCAACTTACAGCTCCCGCAATATGTATCGTACCACTCCCGCAGCGCCTCTTTCTTCCCCTCGTCAATATTCGACGTCAGGACCTTCTGGCCACTGCCACCGCCGCCGCGCTTGCTCTTAGCAGAACCGCCGTCCTCCTCCAACACAGTCTTGAGCTTCTCGCAACGCATCGTCTCGTCAGAGAGCCAGTTCTCCCACTCTGACTGCACCATCTCCCGCTCGATGCTGTTGACGATGCGCATCGCGACAAGGAGATCGTGCCGGTACGATCCGAGACGCTGTCGGGTCCGGCGCAGCCGGCGCGCGGTCGCTCGGCTCGTCGCTGATGATAGCGTCGACCCGGCGTCTTCATAGGGACTGTCCAGATCGGTGGCGTTGGCAACAAATTGGAACGTAGTGAAGCTGTGATATCATGTTAGCAATCGCGTCTTTGAAACCCAAACTGTCAGTCAAGGTATACTTACCAAGCACTATCGGTAGGCCAACTGTTGTTGTGGCCAACTGCACCGGTTGCCTCGCCTAGATCCGCCATGTAGATAGCCTTGCTCATCATTACGTTCGGGCCGACACCGACCCGGGTCATAAACTTGGCTGCTCGCCTCTCCGTCCACCAGGTCGAGCTTTCCTTGGAGGTCAAGGCAATGTTCGTGAGCGCGCTGACTGCCAGGACAAGAAGGATGAGTCTGTGAGCTGTGACCACGCTAAAGAACGTCTTCACCACGGCGATGGCCCACATGATGAGCGACGTCACCGCACTCTCACCAAAGGAACGCAGCGTTTCCAAGAGCATGGCCGTCAGTGTTCGCGGCTTGATGAGCTGCTTCTTTGACGCGGCCGCGTCGGCTGGGGAAAAGACAACAACTTGCGTCTGTTGCCCAATGTTTCCGTACACCTGGATTGCCCTCTTTGTCCGGCTGTGTGGGCCAAGCTTGCGTACCTGGTCCGTCGCGACGTCTGCAAGCTCTTCCGCATCGCCCTCGGCGTCGTTCAGGGCCTGCCGCTCGACCAAGTTTTTTGAAAACGTGGGTATCTTGGACCATTCTACCTTTGTGTAGATTGCTAATTTGCACTTTGACTTGGCCACGTGGGTGATGACAACCTTTGTCACCAATTTGAAGTCTTGAGAATGGGGAAGATGCCATGCCGTCTTGGTGTGTGTCACAACATACGTTACGTGTTCTTGGAAGACATCCATAGTCTGGTAGTCGATAACGTCCACGGTCTTGGGTCGACCGATCATATCTTTGTAGTCGAACTTGAACTGGAACTCACGCCTCATTCGGCCATGATCTGCCAGCGCCCAGGGCCCTTGGGCAATCTGTTGAGCTCTCCGCTCAAAGTAAAGCTTGGGAAAGACAAAGCTCTTGTCGCCAAAGAGCACATGGAAACAGGCCTTGGCGCTAATTTCAAAGTGCCGCTCTGCAACCATTCTCTGCATGTCTTCGGGTTCGAAAATAACAGGATGAGCGGGCACCTGCACTTTGGGGGTCTGCCTCGAGCCAGGCCCTGCTAAGCGGAGTCTAGGTCCAAACTGGCTCTGACGCCTCGCTGGGCGCCCAGAGTGCGTGCCGTCATCGAACGGCGTATTCGATGAGACCTCTTCCCAGCTTTCAATACTGGGGCTGCGCTTGCTGTAGTCCTCGTACTCCAGATTAATCAGTGCCCGGATAAGCTCTGGCAACTCCATTGGCTCCTCAGATTGTAGGTCGTCGATGAGAAGATTCATTCTCGCATGAAGGAGCTGAAGGTTGTCCAAGAAGATCTTGATGGTGATTCTAGTGTAGCCCGTCTCATTGCCATCCTCGCCGAGGTGAAGGAAGATGAAGTCGCATTCCTTACCAGGCGCAGCTGTGACCTCGGCTATTATGTCGAGACTGATGGCATATGCAACAACAAGGCCCATTTGTTGTCCATAAAAGTACATGTTGTCCGGAGTGATATAAATACGGCCATTGCCCGCCAGCCCTTGGCCATGAGAAGGCGAGTCCTTGCCTGTCGAGCTCGACCAAGCGGCACGGAAAACGAGGACAAGCTTCTCGTCAAGAGGAGCATTTGGGAACAGAATTCGGAATTGCAGATGCTGGATCCTTAGCTCTGGAGGGTATCCCGGGACAAAGGTCTCCACGGGTTGCCTGAATGGCGTGTGAGCTTGGCTGGGTTTAGCGTCGACACTGACAGTCTTCCTATGCCCGGTGGTAGGGGTTGGAGGCTTCTCTTCGCCAGGCTTGCCCACCTCTCGCACTACTATTCCAAAGGGATTTTCTTCCAGCAGGCCAGGGGTGCGAGGACGGCCTGGACCTGATCCGTAGACAGTGCTCCAAGGGCTACTTCCCCAGTAGTTGGCGAGAACAGAAGTAGGCATGTGGCTCGTAGTGTCCGACCCTATACTTCTGTCGACTGAAAGCATCACAGCCGTTCGGCTGAGGTTTGTTGCTGCGGGTGGTCTTGCCAGCGTCAA